CCCGATGCGGGACTCGATCCTGGGACTCCAGGATCATGACCTGAGCCGAAGGCAGTCGCTTAACCAACTGAGCCACCCAGGCGCCCCCAACTCTTGATTTCAACTCAGGTCAGGATCTCAGGGTCGTGGGATCGAGCCCCATGTCGGGCTATGTGTTCAGCATGGAGTCTGCTTGAGGACTTCCCTCTCTCTCTGCCCCGAGCCCCCACCTGCCCGTGCGTGTGGTGTGTGCTCTCTCTCAAAAAATAATAATACGAAACCCAGAAATAAAAGAGATGATAAATTTCCTTTAAAAAAAACAAAAATAAGTCTCTCTGCTCCTCCCCGTTTGAAAGAGAGCCGCATCTTCTGATGCAGTCCCAGTTGTATCCCCGAGACAGGATGGTGAAGGTCAGAGTAAACGGATTTGGCCATATTGGACACCTGGTCACCAGGGCTGCTTTTAGCTCTGGCAAAGCGGATACTGTCGCCCCTTCATTGACTTCAACTACATGATCTGTGTGTTCCAGTATGACTCCACAGCACAGGCAAGGCTGAGAACAGGAAACTTGTCGTCAATGGAAAGCCCACCTCCTTCTTCTAGGAGCAAGACCCCGCCAACATCAAATGGGGTGATGCTGGTGCTGAGTACATTATGGAGTCCACTGGGGTCTTCACCACCATGGAGAAAGCTGGGGCTCACTTGAAGGTGAGGCCAAGAGGGTCATGATGCCCCCATGTTTGTGATGGGCATGAATCATGAGAAGTAGGATAACTCCCTCAAGACTGTCAGCAATGCCCCCTGCACCACCAACTGCTTGACTCTCTGGCCAAGGTCATCCATGACACAACTTGAGCACCGTGGATGGACTCATGGCCACAGCGCATGCCATCAGTGCCACCCAGAAGACCATGGACAGTCCCTGTGGGAAGCTGTGGCATGAGGGCCGAGGGGCTGCCCAGAACATCATCCTTGTTTCTTCTGGCACCACCAAGGCTACAGCCAAGGTCGTCCCTGAGCTGAATGGGAAGCTCACTGGTGTGGCCCTTCCACGTCTCCACCCCGAACATGTTAGCCGTGGATCTGACCCGCCGCCTGCAGAAAGCTGCCAAATACGATGACCTCAAGAAGGTGGTGAAGCAGGCATTGGAAGGCTCCCTCAAGGGCACGCTGGGCTCCACTGAGGACCAGACTGTCTCCTGCGACTGTAACAGTGACACCCACTCTTCCTCCTCCAATGCTCTCGGTGACCACTCTGTAAAGCCCCTTTCCTGGTACGACAATGAGTTTGACCACAGCAACCGAGTGGCCTCCAAGGAGGAAGAGCCCCTGGACCATCAGCCCCAGCCAGAGGGAGAGAGAGGCCCTCAGCTACTGGGGAGTCCTTGCCCAACTCAGCCCCCAACACACTGAGAAATCTCCCGACCTCCACACGGTTTCCATCCTAGACCCCCAGAAAAAGGGGAAGGGTTGCGGAGCCCTACCTCATCATGTACCATCAATAAAGTATAATGTACCCAGCCAAAAATGAATAAAATAAAATAATAAAAAAACCCAAGAACTTTCTGTATGGGGGGAAAAAAACCCATAAACAATTATTTTAAAAGACAGAGTTGGGGGATAGGCGTACAGCACAAGGAAGACAGTTTGTTTCCAATGTTACCTAAGGAGCCCTGAGATCGACAGGACAGCCCCAAGGAAAACAGGCCAAGACCGAGGCAGAGACCTGACCCACATCCGGCGCACTCAAGCCGAGACATCTCCAGGCCTGGCAGGCAGGTGGTATAGGTGGACAGCGTGCACCCACTTCTAGGGACTAACCCAACAGATAATGTACCCTCACCCCTGCAAAGCACCGTGGGGGAAGCAGGTCTGGGGCCTGGACAGGACTCCCCCGGTGTACCTCCTCAGGACCACTGAGGGCCAGTCATGCACTTCTCTGTGGGAAGAGGTTTGGTCACACACAAAGGAGCAGTCAGGAATGGCTCATGGACAGCCACTCACTCCCCCAGCAAACTGCCCAAGCCGTGGCCCCTCTCATGGTGTCTGTCAGCGTCTAGGGCCTGGCTGGGCCTCTCAGAGCATGCCGGGTCCAAGGCTCTTCCCACCCAAGCCCTCCCATCCCACCTTCCTCCCACAAGGTCAGACCGTCTCCCCTGCACCCTCCTTGGGTTTCCCCAGGGTGGTCCCTGCAGAAGGCTTGCTGCATGTGTGCACATGACACATCTAATTCTACCCGCTCCCTGGAGGGCCTGAACTGACACAGGTGAGCAACACCCACAGTGGGGCCTCCCCTGCTTGCTGACGACCGCTCCTGTAGCACAGACTCCCCAAGCCCACAGCACCGTAGATGGTGCCCAGGCAAGGCCACTCTCCAAGTCTCCCAGGCCTTAATCAACCGCCAGCCAGGTCAGACATGAGAGCTGACAAGAAACGCAAACTTGGGAGTCTGGTCTTTGGGGCCCATTAGGAGTGACTCCTACATGAAGAAGCATTGAGTGAGAACATGAGCTCTCCAATGAGGGCGCACAAACTCAAAGGGAAAGTGTCTTTCCCAGCCAGACGTAGGAAGCGGAAAGGACGATGATGAAGCAGGGAGCGTGCCCCTTCACACAGGAGACTCCCTAAGAAAAGGGAATCAGGAGTAGGCCACAGGGAGGTGCCAACCCGAGAGAGCCAGAGCCACGGCCCCACCACAGGTCATGTGCACACAGGCAGCAAGCCATCCACGGGTACCACCCCGGGGAAACCCAGCTGTGGCCCCACTGTGACCAAAGGGCCGTCCAGGAAGGTAGACATGGGGGACAGACCGCCCTCCTCTGTGCCTGCCCACCGCATGCACACCAGGAATGTAACCCCCATTGCTCTCAGAAGTCAATTAATTGGCATTTGTTCAAATTTCATTTGAAAAACATCCACTTAAAGTAAATGTTGGCAGAAGCTGCTATCTACAAAATGCTACCTTCTTCCCAGCCTTGGCTACACTTGCCCGTCACCGTGGCAAAGCAGTGGGTGGGAGGCAGGCCTGGCGAGCTTTCACACATGAGGAACCCTCCCAAGCTCTCCCCTGAACACCCAGCCAGAGAAGAAATCGGCATAAAGCAGTGAACTGGCCTCTTCACCACACCCTTTTTTTAAACAAACAGCAAAAGTGAATCTCAGCTTCCAACTAGTAGGATAGTAGATAAAACCTCTCCCAGAAAAAGAAGAGAAATATCTGTAGGTCCCTTAAAATAAAGCTGCCTCCACTGCCAGTGTGGGCTCTCCTCCCCGGGAACACGGCACATGCAGCCTCTCCTTTCCTCCATAAATGACCAACCAACACGGGCAGTGGGATGCAGCTCCGACGCCTGCTGCTGGAACCTTCCACCATGAAGACAGCCAGGAAGCAGTCCTAAGCAGAGAGCTTCAGCCATCCCAGCTGAGGGTATGCTAGACCACCCGGCGGGATCCAGCAGCGCAGGCCCAGGCTAGAACCACAGGCCGGCCAGCCTGGTCCTAGGAAACAACAAACTCACACTGCAGTAAGCCCCTGAGCTTGGGGCAGCCATGCAGGGCACCTAACAAAGAAACTGTTCCAGAAGTGGGCTGCTATCACAAAATCCTGGGAGAAAGCACCAAGATGGTGAGTGGGGGTAGGCCGAGGCTGGAGTGGCGGCAGCAGGCTTGGAGAAAGGACCCCACGCCATACAGCAGAGGAAAAACTGGCAAAATGTGAGCCACAGTCACAGAGAAGGTGGAAAAGACCCTAAAGGACTTGTGTGTGGCTCTCCTAAGGAAAATCTCAGAAAGCAGAAAGCGACAGCCAGCTTCTTGGAGTGCAAACAATGATGTGTGAAGGGCGCCTGGGTGGCTCAGTTGGTTGAGCGACCGCCTTCGGCTCAGGTCATGATCCTGGAGTCCCGGGATCGAGTCCCGCATGGGGTTCCCTGCTCGGCGGGGAGTCTGCTTCTCCCTCTGACCCTCTTCCCTCTCGTGCTATCTCTCATTCTCTCTCTCTCAAATAAATAAAATCTTTAAAAAAAAATGATATGTGAAAAAGGGAGACAGTCATCTTGTGGGGTGCAGAATTTACAGGGAACACGGGGGTCCAACTGCTTCACATCCCCAATTTCCCACCTGGCAAAAGATTTCAAAGTAAGAAATGGCCTCAGGATAAAGACCAAGTCAAAGACTGGGTAGGTGGTCCTCTGTTCAAACCCCAGGTTTTTGGGCCAGGCCTAGCCAAAGGGCTTCTGAGAATCTTCAGGGCACTGTCCCCAGCGGCTGGCCTCCCAAAGCAAGAGAGGGGCCCACCTCAAGGAACCCACGATGAGCACAAACAGAGTAGAAGAGATGAAAACGTGTCAACATGGAAAAGTGGAGATCCCTGATTAACAGAAAACAAAACCAGAACACAAAGCAGCACTCACAGTATGATCAATCTCGTCTGTGGGACTGGAAGGGTGCGTGCGGGGGCTTTGGGGGGCCGGAAACATCGCTTTCTCTACGCACACTGTACTGAATGACAAAAAGGCTCAGAGAAAGACACGTGCGTGTCGGCATGTGAGCAAGGGTGCCTGGGAGGGCCTACTCCAGGGCACTAGCTGCAGGAATGTCCGGGTGGTAGCAACACAACCTGCTTTAATATTTGCTCATGAGTATTTTTTAATTTTCTACCATATATAATAATAAATTGTTATTTTTAATTTTTAAGAACCTGTTGTAAACTTCCCGGTAAAATGGCAAATAAAGGTGAGAAGAGACGCTCCATACCCGGAGGCTTGGGCACCAGCTGCCTCTGGAAGCAAGAGTGAAAGACAACTAGGAGGGCACGGCTAACGCCGGGAAAGCCCATCCAAGACACCATGCCAGCCTCGCCCAACACAGGGCCCTAGGAGGAGAAAGGAGCCACCCCCGCCTCCTCTGGCATGGCCCCTGTACTTGGGGCATGGAGAGAACCCAAACATCCTGGACCATGAGACCCGTCCTGCCCCCAGCCCAGCCCCCAGAACACCGAATGCAGGGACAGTCACCCTCCAGGAAAGGGTGGTAGCATGTTGCCCTGGACTGAACTGTGTCCTCCCCCAAACTCCTCTGGTGAGGCCCCGATCCCCAATGTGACTCCCCAATGTGGACAGAGGGCCTTTAGGAGGTAATTAAGGTTAAATGAGGTCATAAGGACTGTGACCTTATAAGAAGGGGAAGAGAGAGGACTCTCTCTGTCCACCATGTGGGGACACGGTGAGAGGGTGTCCCTGGCAAGCCAGAGCTGATCTCAGACTTCCCGGCCGCCGGAACCGCGAGCACCTCAGTTTCTTTGGCGTCAGCCATCCCGCCTGTGGTACGCGGGTATGGCACCAGGGCTGATGAAGACAGATGTTGTCTGGGGAATCTGAGCAGCCCAAGGAGACAGCCCTGGATACGCTTAACACTGGCAGCTCCAAATCACGTCACCCCACGGCAGCAGGCACAGTGCTGGGCGCCGCTCAGAAGACTCCAACGTGGGGTCAGATCCACCCAAGACTCCCTCCCTGCCTGGATGGGGGGACACGAAGCTGGGCTTGACCAGGACCAGAGCACCTCCGCGAGAATGGCTGTGGGTGGGGGCTCCTCACAGCATCCAGGGCACCGGGCAGAGGCAGCTCAGCCTTTTCCACCTGAATACCCGCTCCTGACACAGTAAATTATTCACCACAGGCCGTCCCAAATCCAAGAGAGGGGACTTGGGCACCGCCCCCGGCGGGGAGGGGAGGCGCTGGTGTCACCACCTGGAAACCTGCCCACAGCAGGGACACAGACAACGCAAGGCAGAGAACTTGGGTGGGAAATCCAGCTGGAAGGCCCCGTGCTTCCTGCCACGGTTAAGCACGCGGTCAGTGAAGCAGCTGAGCATCACATCCGTCGAACCTAGGAACTCAGCGGCAGCCAAGCCCTCCTCCATCCTGCCTGCAGGAGGGCGGGTTAAAAAGCCTCAGTTGGGGAGCATAGCTCCAAAGTGGCGGAAACCAGGCAGGAAGAGTCTCCAGGCCACCGCAGCTGCAAGTTAGCTGTGCGAAGGAACGAAAACCCAAGCGTCACCTGGGCTGGCAATGGGGATCGGCACTGAGGTCGGGTCCTGGTCTAGTACCTTCCTCTCAAAACTTCTACCAGACGGGAAAAGGCAAAGGCTCACCCCCAGCTGCAGTGATGTGCAGAGGTCAGTGTGAACGTGCCACACACAGCAAAGACAAGAGCGACAGGAGGACCGCCCCAGCCTAAATCCCTGTGGGCAGGAAGCACGAGGGGAGCCAGCCCCTACCCAGGGTGACCTACTCCTTTATGTCAGCCATTCCGCCCCATGTGCTGGCAGTTCTATCAAGTCAAATGTGGACTTCTTTGCCAATAAATATTCTTTTCTTTTGAGAGACAGTGGGGAAGGGGGGTGGGGGAGGATCCCAAGCAGGCTCCACACCCAGTGCAGAGCCTGACGCGGGGCTCGATCTCCCCACTCTGAGATCATGACCTGAGCTGACATCAAGAGTCGCACGCTTACCCGACGGAGCCACCCCGGCAGCCTTGCCAATTAATATTCTATGTGCTCGTCTATTATGAGAAATGAGGAAGAAAAAATTCCCAGCTTTTGTGAGGAATGTCAACTTCACTTTGAAAACAGTCCCCAGTTGTTCCTACTGTCCATCTTATCTTCGGAGAAATTACCACGTATCTTCAGAAATGAAGACCATGTGACCATGTTGACATGGGAGGAAAAAACAAAGATGAAGCATTATCTTTGCTTCCTGGCTGACGCAAGGTTTCTATTTTTCCTTCACATTCTCCATTGACACGGACACTTGAGTTCAGTTTCAAACATTTAAGTAAAGGGGACGCCTGGGTGGCTCAGTCAGCTGGGCGTCTGCCTTCGGCTCATGATCCCGGGGTCCTGGGATCGAGTCCCGCGTTGGGCTCCCTGCTCCGCGGGAAGCCTGCTTCTCCCTCTGCCTCTGCCCTCCCCCTGCTTGTGCTCTCTCTCTCAAATAAATAAAAAAAAATTAAAAAAAAAAAAAAGAGTATTTAAGTAAAGGAAACTCCCGACACCCTCCCGGCCCCATGCGATGCCCAGGACACCTGCCAGAGCCCGAGTGGCCCTCACAGGACAGAGGCCCCGTCTCACCCGTGAGGGGCCAGGTCGGTCGTCACCAGCACAGTCTTCACCTCCTCCACACCACTCCCGTCCACTGCGGTGTCTGGCGTTGTGACCACCACCACCTCCTCCATGTGGACACTCACATCCGGGGTTGCCATGGCTCAGCTGAAGATGACGCCAGAACCAGGGGTGTCAGTCCGCCAGGGTCCCAAGCCTAGAGGAAACCACAGACAGGGCACAGGGTCTCAGGTGGTCTCTGGGGATGCACCTGCACCTTGAAGTACCTGCCAAGACCCATCCCTCAGTCTGAGCCTGCTGCTTTCTGACAAAAACAACAGCAAGAAAAGGACTATTCCAGCGCTGCTGGTTCTGGTAAAGATGGAATGATCACAATCCATCCATCTTTCCACTGTGAGAGCTAAAATCTCTGAACAGAATGCATGGAGCCGCTGCACGTGGGCCTGAAAACTCAGTGGTCACACAGCAGGGAATGGGGCAGGAGACCAGGATCCAAGTGGACTCCTCTGGAAGTGAGTCCCCTGGCCTCACCGCAGGAAGTTCCAGAACTGCGCACAATAAGCACCTGGAGACAAGTCCAGTCTCTGGTTTGCAGAATTGGAAGGGAAACCCACACAAGACAGAAGAGGGGGAAATGACCTGCTTTTATTATTGTTTTTACTGACTTTTCCTCCTAGCAAGCCGCAGTCCCTGCCAAAATCCTGTGATGGTAGTGGCCCAGCAGGCACCTAATATTGAGGGACTAGAGGCACACTGGTCCAAAGACTGGGGGATCCCACTGCTCTCCATGCTGACACTTGCCCAAGGGAGACCCAGTGCTGAGGTGTCACGGCACAGAGGACACACAAAAGCTGCAGGTTTCTAGTCAGAGGAAGGGGACCCTGGGGCCAGAGAGTACGCGGGAGACTGTGCAGAGTAAGGAGGTATGGAAGGGGTACCTGGGTCACCCCACAACTGTCTGTGGGGGGGGCCTGACCCTAAATGGCAAACCAAAGGTTTATAGAACAGACCCTACAGGTCAGTTCCAAAGAGCACTGCGCAGGCTCTGAAGACAGAGCTGATGTCAGGACCGTGCCCAGAGGAGAAGCTCAAAACCTGCAGCCTGAACCTAACTGGGCTGCCTTCCTGCTCTAACAGAAATGCTACATTCCCTCTGAGATGTAACAGGACCCAGAGCCTCACAACACGATATTCAAAGCATCCAGAATACAACCCAAAATCTTTAGACATAAAAAGAAGCAGGAAAACGAACCATGAGAGACTATGGACTCTGAGAAACAAACTGAGGGTTCTAGAGGGGAGGGTGGTGGGGGGATGGGTTAGCCTGGTGATGGGTATTAAGGAGGGCACGTACTGCATGGAGCACTGGGTGTTATATGAAAACAGTGAATCGTGGAACACTACATCAAAAGCTAATGATGTAAGGTATGGTGATTAACATAATAAAATATTTAAAAAAAAAAGAAGCAAGAAAGTCTGGCCAACTCTCAAGAGAAAAAATAATCAAGAAAAGCCCACTCTGAAATGAATCTTCAGAGACTTTAAAGCAGCTGGTGTACCAGGCTTCAGGGACGAAGCCAGACACTCCTGAAACAAGTGGAATGATAAAAAGTCTCAGCACAGGACAGGAGTTACAGCCAAATGGAAATTTGAGAATTAAAAAGAAAAAATTAGGGGCGCCTGGCTGGCTCAGTCGGTTAAGCGTCTGCCTTCGGCTCAAGTCATGATCCCGGGGTCCTGGGGTCGAGCCCCACATCAGGCTCCCTGCTCAGGGGGGGGGTCTGCTTCTCCCTCTGCCACTCCCCCGGCTTGAGCTCTATCAAATAAATACATGAAATCTTAAGAAAAAAAAAGAAAAATTATAACAGAAATAAAAAATTCACTGGATGGGCTCACCATCCGAATGGAGATGGGAGAAGATAGAGGTAGAGTAATAAAATGAACACAGATCAGTAGAAATTATCCAAACTGAACAACAGAAAAAAGGTGCAAAAACAAAATGAACAGAGTTTAGGGAATGTGGAAGAATATAAAAAAGTTGGACACCCGTATCACTGAAGTCCCAAAAGAAAAGAAAAAAGTGTGAAGCTGAAAACATTTTTTTGAAGAAATAGCTGACCACTTCCCAAATCCAGTGAAAGGTGTAAACTTACACACCCAAGAAGCTCAGCAAACCTCAAACAGAATAAACTCAAAGAACTCCTGCCCAGATCATAATCAAATTGCTGAAAACCAAAGACAAAGTAAGAGCATTTCGAAAGCAGCCAGCCAAACAGAACAGACCACAGGCCCGAGAACCACCACCACAGGACCCAGACCTCTCGCCAGACACCAGCGGGCCGGAGGGCAGGGACATCGGGAACACGCTGAAGGAAAGAGCTGTCCACCCAGGATTCTATGAGACGAACAGATCCTACAGAAATAAAGGCAGAATAAAGACATCTTCAGGTGAAGGAAAAGTAAAAGAACTGCTCATGGGGAGACCTGCTCCAAAGGGATGTTCTTCCAACAAAGGGAGAGGACAGCAGAGAACTGTGACATCAGGGACAAACCAAGAGCACCCGAAATGATAAGTATCTGGGTAAATACACACTAAACTGTTTTCCTCTTACATTCTTTATACAACAACCTGAAAGCAAGTTCGACCCTGTCTGGTAGGGTTTCCAAGGCATACAGACAAGCCACGTCCACCCCGGGGCCAGGGGCTGGTGCAGGGGGCGGCGGGGCCGTGCTGCCCTGCCCTACCTCAAGTGCAGAGCGCTGTTCTAAGCTGACTGGGAAGAACGGAGTCCTTCGAAAGGTGAAGGGACAAACAGATACTTACGTTCCACACGATGGAATATCATTCAGGGATAAAAATCAGTGAGCTATGAAGACAGAAAAAGACATGGAGGAATCTTAGCCGTACCTTGCTAAGTGGCCGCCAGTCTGAGAAGCCAACTCTGTGGGCCCCGGGGAGAAGATGACTGGTTGCCAGAGATGTGAGGGAGAGAGGCGTGAAGAAGGGGGCACAGAGGGCCTCAGGCAGTGACAGGACACTGCAGGACACTGCAGCGGTGATACATTTGTCAAAACCCCACAGAACATAAACCACGGACGTGGGGTAGCTGTGATGAGCGTAGGCGCAGCCTCGGTCATACATGCACCGTTCTGGCATGAGACGTTGGTGGTGGGAGAGACCACGTCCTGGGCCACATGGTCCTGGGGCAGGGCCTCCGGGGACCTGACGGCTGTCTTCAGATGCCTTTAATGAGGAAAGCTGCGATGATGAATTCACTGACACGGACAGACATCCTGCCCACTTCTAAAATATAGCTTTTGTGTTCTAGGTTTAAGCTCTGAAACAAACCCCTTTAAACAACATGCATAAAAGTCTACTTTAAAATTGTACTGAAGGGGCACCTGGCCGGCTCCACCGGTGGAGCATGCAACTCTTGATCTCAGGATTTTGAGTTTGAGCCTCACAGTGAGTGTAGAGAGTACTTAAAAAAAAATAAAATCTTTTTTTATGGGGCGCCTGGGTGGCTCAGTCGTTAAGCATCTGCCTTCGGCTCAGGTCATGATCCCAGGGTCCTGGGATCGGGCCCCACATAGGGCTCCCTGCTCCGCAGGAAGCCTGCTTCTCCCTCTCCCACTCCCCCTGCTTGTGTTCCTTCTCTCGCTGTGTCTCTCTCTGTCAAATAAATTTTAAAAATCTTAAAAAAAATAATAAAAAAATAAAGTATTTTAAAAATAATAAACAAAATTGTACTTGAAATAACACTGAACTTTGGTGATTGCCTATCTCACCAAGCAAGGACCTCTGTTTTCATTGGATTAGCTCCACGGGGCCACAAGAATCACACTTCAACCAAAAGCTGCAGCAAGGCAGGGATCCTCTCTACAGGCAGCTGTGCTCCCCCAAATTTCAGAACTTTGGGGAGCACAAAACTGAATTCCTGCCTCTCCGATGCCAACTGTATTAAGTTTTCACAACAACACACCTGAAAGTTACCTCACAGAATACAGTTCAGGTCCTTGACACGAGGATGATTACACACAGAACAAGCTCGACAACCAGAACCGCACTCCCCAGTGGGCGAGCGCGACCTTCGTGTCCCCGGGCTTGTGGTGAAGGGGACACGGAAGCCCGGGTCTCCATCCAGAGCTTGGGTTCCTGACCAGCATGAGTCAAGCCCCGATTAATTTTAAGGTGAATAAAATATTGGTATTGTTAAAGTATCATTCTTGAGCATACACATATGAGACAAAAATGTTGGTGTGTGGTCGGTACATCAGATTCAGATCTGGCCTTCCACGTCTCCTGCAAGATCCCAAGTGCTTTCCTTTGGTAAAAACACTAAGAACACAGCAACAGCTGCATCCAGGGGCCCACAGGCACCATTTCTTGGATCTTCCCAGAGTTTCAAAACTTAGTTGCCAACTTTGTCAAAGTTCACAGGGTTCACATAAAAAAAAGTCCAGATTTCCAGCTTCTCTTGCCCCCCAGAGGCGACCCCTCTGGTCCTTCCTGCCTTCCCGGGACAATTGGGGCTGCACACCGGGCCAAGCTGGCCAGCCCTGCCGGCCTGCAGCCTCTCTGGCTCAGAGGAAGCACGTCAGTGGCCTCCTTTCTCAGTTCAGCCACGAGTCCGGTTATTTTAAGCCTTAGATTTGAATATAGCTCTACAGTGTTCTAAACTCATAGAAACACTTCCACGTCGGCCTATGTCTACAAATTCGTCCCCCTTCCAGTAGTGTTCCCCAACATTCAGATCCCTCCTTTGAAGAAACCACTTCGGGACCAGCATTCTGCCTAGTCTCCGTCGTCACTCTACGATCCAGAGCTCCACTGTGCCTCCACACCCAGAGGACATGGAACCGGCGTCCCCAAGCCAGCTCTGTACCCCCGGGTTGACGGCCGCCCATGGAAACCGCGGCACGTGCGCCGACGGCATGCCTGAGAGCACATGGCAGGTGCACGATGGGCCATCGCCTGGTGACAGCGTGCTCGGGGAGACAGGCCACACGCAAGGCAGACACTAGCGGACACCACTTAGAGGAGGACCCCAAACACACCCGGGGGAGCAGGGAGCGGGAACGAGGGTTGTGCGGCACCAAGTTCAAGGTGTGGATCAAGTCCTGGGGAGCCTGGACCCTG